GGGGAGAGGAGAAAGAGGGCAGGGATCTGCTGCACTGAAACTGCCAACAGCTGCCTGCAGTACAAATGACTGAGACATACTTGGTTTGCTTAAAGTTAATCAATAATAAAAGAATCATTGCATAGGGTGAAGATGTTATGGTGGGAGAAATAACTCAAAGGAAAATGTCTGACTACTTGTGGAAAACATGTAACTTGTGATCATAATAATGATCTCTTCCTGTGTAAAGATTTTTAATTTGTTTCTGGAAAATATGTGTGGTTGTGAGGTAATGTCTTCCTGCAAAGAAGTTTTTGTCCCAGGTGTCATATAAAGGAGCAGAGGAAAATGGAGACAGGAGAAGAAAGAGAAAGAGAAAATGAATTAAGCTTTGCTCCCTCAGGTAAGTCTGTGTTTAACAGCACCGACCACCATCTTCTCCACTTTCTCCCACCTGCTGAAGCTTGACTTCGGCAACAAATTAAATGGCTTAAGTGCGGGGGTGGGGGTGGGAGTAGGGAGTGTAAGTTGCCTTTGTTACTTCAGAGATAGAATAGTAACTATGTAGATCTTACCCCAGATTCCCCCGCTCTGTTTTCATCTCTACCTCTCTCTCTTTCTCAGTGGAGTATGCTCATTGAGACCGAGTTATGAATGGCACCAATTAGACCCTGCGTCTTGGGTTGTCTAGTATATAGGGTCCAGGGTTTGCAGACAAATGTGGAGAGGAAACCCTCCTTGTGACTGTAGCATCCCTACCGAAGGACCAACACTCTCACAGCCCCATGTTGAAAGAGATCGTTCTTACCATTTGTCTTCTATTCTCCACCAGGTGGATGCCAACGATTCCCAGGAAGGATCCAAAGCCCAGCTGAAAGGAAAGGAAGAACAAGAGAGAGAGAGATCTGGTTAGTGTCGTACTGACCTATCACCAGCATGGTGCAAGACAATGGCCTCTCTTAGGGCCCTCTGACCAGCAGCCCTCAGTCCTCCCCCTTTGCTGAACAGTCTCAGATACTAAGTATTAGGCTGGGGTCATTTTTCCTAGGACGGTGGCCCCCTCCCACCTGGACTAGCAGGGAATTTGTCTCTCTACATAGAACACCCTGAATCTCCTACTCAGTCCCCCATAGGCCTTTGACTCACGATGATCCCTGGGTAGTAGCCGCCCACAGTCACATTCTCTGTCCTGGTGGTGGCAGCAAGGCCGATGGTCAGAATGAGAGCAGACACCAGCAGCAGAGCACCCACAAACCACAGCGAGATCTTCTTTCTCCTTGCAAAGCCCTCTATGCGGAGGAAAAGAGGGGTGTTAGTGCACTGGGTGCGAATTCCCCACTGTGGTCCAGGCCCAGTCATTTGGAATCATGGGAGCTCCACATCTGTCCTCTACCAACAAAGGAAAACCTGGTCCCCCGCTGTGCCAGGCAGATGAGCAGCCTGGGTGCCAGGCAGATGAGCAGCCTGGCCACTCCTCCCTCCTCAATGACCCTGAGCATGGTTAGGGATCACTGCCTAAGGCTGGGAGAGAGGCTCGTCTTCATCCATCTCAAGTCCAAGGGGAGAATAATTTCATGGGGAACGGAGGAGGTGCCTGAGTGTAGGAAGCAGCTATAACCCAGATGCGCCCCCTCTTGTGAGCCTCTGGGGCTTCTGGGTGCAGACCCACCCACCCGACTAGAAGGTTGCATCTGCAGCTGTAGGCTGTGAGATTGAGCTCTGCACATGCTACAGCTCAGCAGAGATTGCTGGGCTCACGCAGCATTTCAAGGTACTGCCGCTTGGTCTTGGTCCTGTCTCCTGCCTGAGATACAGATACAATGGCCGGGCCCTGCAGCCACTTTGGACAAGGAGACTCTGGAATGAAGTCACAGGCAGAGACCATCAGATGAAATACCACTGAGTATCTGTAATCTTCATCCGATAAGTCCAAACATAAAGCGCTCCTCTGTACAGCCTGCTCTGTGCAGTTGGACTTCAAGTTCAGCACAGCTCTTGGGAAAGGGCTCACCCTCCGCTGTACCTCTGGGAGCCCGACTCTTCCCCTAATGATCTGGAGGGGCTGAAACAGCTTTTCCACTGAACACACCTAAACCACAGGCTATGGCCAAAACCAAGTGAGAAGGCCGAGTTCAGCTCTGATCCAGCCAGGCATCTGACCAAGTCATTGCAAACAGAAGTGGGATGGTGGAAGGGTCTGGTGACCTTCTTAACTCCAGAGTCCTAACAAGTCAACATTTTGAGTGTGTACACACAGGTACGTTTTCACACTCATGTGTGCCTCTATGTGTGCACACACGGCACAGTGCCTGCTTCCCCAGGAAGTGTTTTGCCCACCCAGGTATATCCCCCTTTCAAATGGCCACTGCAACTGAACGGGCAACTCTTCACGCTCTGAGGGATTCTCATTTGAGGATTTCACACATCCTTGATCCTACCAGTGAAGATTGACACAGGTCAAGGTTGTGACACCTAAGAAAGGGACTGCTTCAAGCTCAAGACATAAATTCTCAAAGAACCACAGACGAATGCTCACACGCTGAACGACCTGACAGACCAGAGAAAGACATTGTATCTAGCTGACCCAGCAAGGGCACATTCCCAGGAGTAATACTCCATTCCAGAGATCCTGCTTATCCCTGTCCAGTGTTCTCACCCAGGGTGTGACAAATGTCTTGTCAGAACCTCATCCTAAACCACCCTTCAACCCTATAGAGTGACCAGATCTACCATTCCCCAGTGCAGTAATCGCTGGCTCCCCGGAGCGGGTCCCCAGGGGTTACAGAGGATGGAACTCCTGTTGACCAGGCTCTTTAAGTCCTGGCCTCAGGTATGGGTCCGTTTTCCCTTCCCACTCCCATTTCCTACTGTTTTGCCTCTGAGCGGAAGGTTTATGTCCAGAGTGGGACCTTTGTATGTGCCTCAGCTCACTGTATGGGCTACTTGAATGTCACCTGCAGAAACACCACACGTGTGTGCACTCAGCCCTACACTATTTCCTGCTCATTCTCACTCATTCCCCCAACCCCCCCATTCCCCACTGAACTAAACATTCCTTACATACAGATACTTCCAAATCCCAGACACACTGCCATGACCATGAGGTGAATCCTGTCCCCATTGGGAACTTTTGTTCTTGCGAGAGAAGATCAACACATATAAGATGAGCCACAGTATATATAGGCTTTATAAAGTGCCAAATTCAATAGTGAAATGAGGCAGGGCTGGGGGCGGGCAAGAATTCAGGAAAGAGTGTGAAAACACCTCCCAGGAAATGAGGCCCTGAGGTGTTTGGGATTGTGTCCAGCACTGGGTCCAGATAACCTTGAGAAAAGCCCAAGGTTGGTGCACGGCAAATGGGTAGCCTGGGTGCTGAAGGACTAGGGAGCTGGAGAGACCAACCTACTTAGCTGGCTGAGCAGGACGGGAGAGACTCTGATTCTACTTTCTCCTACATCCACAACACCTGGGTAAATCTAAGAGCAGAGAGTCAGGCTGAATGGAATCCACCCCGGAGGGCTCAGGCCTGTGAAAGGGTGTGGGCGAGCCAGCGGGAGGCAAAGGGAACACCCTTCTTTGGAAACTGCAGGAACAGGGCACAGAGTACCCTTGGCAGAACATGGGAGAAGGCTTTGAAGCAACTCCTGACTTCTCCATGGTGCCCACAGCCCTACCAAGAGCTGGCCAGCACCTGCACACACTCAGCCTCGGGAGCAAGCAAAGGGGCTGGGGCCACGTGAGTAGGCAAGGCCTAACTACCACCTGGTCATGCCTAGCGCTAGGTCATAACTAGTAAGCAAGTGCCAATGAGCCAATAGGCTAAAGGGTTTTACCCCCCCCTTTCCCCTCAGTGCATTGTACACCAATTACATTCCAAACAGCTAGTAATGACCGAGCATGACAGACCTAGGGGGACCCTTCCTGCAGAAACATCTTTCACCTGGGGCAGCACCAGCCCACAGCACCCTGGACCATGTCCTCCTCTGTGTTCGGTCATTAGCATGGCATCCTAGGCTAGTGACACTTAGTATTGTTGGGCTAACGGTTTCTGACCTGAAAAATGCCACTTGACCAAAGGTCGGGCTCTTGAGATCATACTTTCACCCATTCGTGTCCTGAATTGAGGGAGAAAGAGAAGCCCCAGCCTGGAGGACAACATTCAGTAAGGCTCTCCATCATGACCTTGATGCCTACGGGGCCTGAACCCTCAGAGTGAGGTTAATCCTCTGGGGCCTACTCTGATGGCCTGGGTCCCTAGTCTCAGGTATTGGGGATGCTGAGGTAGAAGGGTCATTTGAGCCTGGGGATTTGAGATCAGCCTGGGAGATCCCAGGACGGCGTATCCTATCGCAGAGGCAAAGTGATCCCAAGTGGCAGAGAGCTGGACACTGCTCAGCCACCAGGTTCTGATTTTATATCTAACACTGCTCCGGGCTATAAACAAAGACGCATGAGTATAAAATTGTCGCAGCCTGGAGCCACCCAGGCCGTTAGTGGCTTGTAAGACTGTCTCAATAAAAGACTCCCACAGACCATTTTAAAGTCTGGAGTTCCTTATTGGAAGAAAAGGGTAAGTCAGAAGCTGCCCTTAACCACCAAGTCACCCTAGCACAGCAAAGGGGGGCAGCCGGTAGAGCAGCTGTAAGTCAACACTAGCTAGCTAGCAGCTTACTGGGAAATGAGTGAATTACCAGAGCGTCCGGCCTTAAAGAGGAGAGGGCACAACCGTCTCTTAGAAGCCAGATTCCTTAATTATTATCTAATAGCACTACCAACCTGGCTTCTGAAGACTCCCTAAAAGTGTCTCAGTGAAGGGTGGAGGCTATCACCTGGATTCTTAACGGTGGGTCGATCCTGAAGGCATCATCCAGAGTCCCCCCCCCCTCACCGATCCCTTAATCCCATGGCCGAGGGTCACCCAAGGTAGAAAGTCCTTTCTTCTCCAAGTCTCTCCCACCCTCTGCCCTCCTAGAACAATGCCTGGCACCCCTCCAGGGCCTGGATACTTCCCAGAGGAGCACCCAAGCCCAAGTGGCCCGTAGGAGAGCCAGAGCCTGCAACAGGTTTCCTGGTTTCCCAGAAGGACCTGGCTTCGGCTGCTTTGGGCTTTCTGCGGAAAATCAAACAATTAAAGATGGAATGGCTCGTGAGTGAGGCAGCTGGAAGTCTTGGAAGCCCTGGAAGCCCTCGCGGGCACCAACAACACTAAAATGCCCTGAACACCTCTCAGGCAGGAAGCACTCCCTGGTTCTTTCAAGCAAACATTTCTCAGAAGAGTTTAGAGACTGAAATAAATACAGGACTGGGAAGGTGTGGGTCCGGGATGGCGACGTTTATATGTACTCGGGTCCGTTAATAAAAAGATAGAGTAGGGGACAGAAACAGGTGTGCAGCATAGAGAGATGTGCAGCAGAAAGATGAGGTGGCTAGTGGCCCTGCCACATGACCTGAACCCCCAGCCCCAACCCCAAGGGAGTCCTGTGCCCAGAGCTCTGAGCTGTGTCAGGGGTTCCCTTACCAGCTAGAGACTTGTAACCCAGGCCCCCAAATTGCCTGCCAGTGGTGGAGATTCCACGGGCTGTCAGCTAACCTGTGGTATCCAAAAGGGCCAGAGGGCCTGGCACAGGCGGCGGGAGCGGCTGCATTCCCCAAGTGCCCTCCGCTGGGAGGGCAGCGCTCTGAGGCGGCCACTTGGAGGCTTCTTCTGTCTGGTTAGGTTTCAGGAGGCCCAGGAGCAGCGGCAAGAAACACAGCCCTGTATCTGCTCTTCTCTACTCCACGGGCACTTCTTCCTACCTCTCCTGCCTTCCTCTCTCCTTTGGTCATTTCCCTTCTCCCTCCACCACCTCCCCTCTGCCCCCTCCTACACCTCCCTTCCTCCCTCCTAGGTCCTGGTGCCTGCGGCTCCTCCTCCGTTTTCTCTCCTCCTTCCCCTCCCCTTCTTTTCCCTCCTCCCCCTCTTCTTTTTCCAGTCTCCAGCCCCTGGAAATCAGAGTCTAGGAAAAGATCCTGAGTTGCCTCTGCCAGAGATGGAAAACAGACCCAGTGAGGAGGGATGTACCTGAAGAAATACTGTGCGCTGTTGGCCTGAACCCAGCCCTCCATCAGAAGAGCCACAGACCGCACTGAGAACTAGGTGGCCCAGATGGAGGGAAGCAGAGAAATTCAGCAGAGGCAGAGCAAGGATTCTACACCGGTGCTGGAGAGGACTCCTGGCTACTTCAGACCCCCAGTGAGTTGAGCCCTCCCACCTCGGTCATTAGGAAAATGCTCTGCAGGCATGCACGCAGGTGATGTGATGGAGGCTTTTCCTCAGCTGAGGCGCTGGTGGGTCTGCGATGCAGTGTGGAAACTCAGGTTCTGTGGTGGATCATGCCCCCGCCTGGCACAGGGGCTGTGGAGCCCTGGGGATGCTCTCTGGCTACCCCACTCCCATGCCAGACTTTAGATCCACAGCCCTAAAGTTCTGCATGGGAGGGTGCTGTGGGAAGAGGGGGAGGGGCTGCCAGTGTGTAGATAGGTGGGGCTAATCTTAGGTTCCTATTGCTTCCCTTAAGAGGCCACGACCCAAAGCAGCTTGGGAAGAAAGGGTGTCTTGCCGGCTGGCAATGGCGCACACCTTTAAATTCCAGCACTCGGGAGGCAGAGGCAGGTGGAGCTCGAGGCCAGCCTGATCTACAAGAGCTAGTTCCAGGACAGGCTCCAAAGCTACAGAGAAACCCTGTCTCGAAAAACCAGAGAGAGAGAGAGAGAGAGAGAGAGAGAGAGAGAGAGGAGAAAGAGAGAAAAGAGAGAGGGGGAGGGAGAGAGAGAATGAGGAGAGAGAGAGACTGACTTTGGCTTACATGTCCAACCACCGAAGAAGCCGCAGAAGCCGAGGCAGGAACCGAAGCAGGGACTACAGAGGAACTCTGCTGACTGGCTTACTTCTTGTGGTTTGCTCAGCCTGCTTTTGACCACCTGCCCAGGGGTAGCCCCTCTCCCAGGGAGCTGGGCCATCCCACATCAACCATTAATGAAGAAAATGCTCTACAGTCTGGCCCACGGGTGACCAAATGGAGGCATTTGCTCAGGGAAGGCTTCTCCCTGACTACTCTAGCTTGTATCAAGTTGACAAAAACCAATCAAGAATGGGCACCATGAATAGCCGCAGTAGGGGAAAACAAGTCTTTTAAAGAATATTAATGTATTGTTAAAAAAGAATTTTGAGAATGAGAAGTATAGCTCTCAATGGTAGAGCATTTACACAGCTCAATGGCAGAGTGTTTACATAGCTCAATGGTAGAGTGCTTGCAAGGCATGTATGGTATGCAGGAGGCCACAGGCTTGATCCCTAACTTAAAAAAAAATAGAGACAAGAGAAGGAGGGGGTGTGTGTGAGGGAATAATGGGGGCCAAGCACTCCCCACCAAGGAAGGCACTTGACTGCTGGTTCCTTGGTGAGCCACAGATGAGGACGATTAGGTAATTTTGGGCAGGCTGAGTGAAGGAGGGAGGGCTGCAGGGAAGCAGGAGAGTAGGCATGGCTTAGCTTAGGTTCCTATTGCTTCCATAAAGATGCTGAGATCAAAGGCAGCTCGGGGCCGGAAGGATGTCTTGGGGTTGCATGTCCCATTAAAGTCCATCCCTGGAAGAAGCCGGGACAGGAACTGAAGCAGAGACCATGGAGGAACTCTGCATGCTAGCTCGCTAACAGTGGAGAGAACTTAGGAGGCTGCCACCACAGTGAGGGGGTGGGCTGCCCCCGTATGACCTCTCAGCAAGCAATACTGAAGTGTGCTGATGATATTCCCACAAACCAGCAGGGTTTAAGAGTGGCCCAAGAACACACCCTCAGGAAGTCCTCAGGAAGAGCTGTGGTTTTACACTGCTGGTGCTGCCGGAATCATCCAGTGTTTTTTAAATTACTCTTGTATTGGGGCAGTGCAGCCTTCGGGAGTGGTCCTCACCTGGGGACCCTGCTATCCTCACTAGGCATCTAGTGAGACAGAGAAACATGTGTATTGTCACAAACAGGTGGGCACAAATGCTTTTCACAGGCTGTGACCGCCACAGAGATGGTCCCAAACAGAATGTCCATTACTAGAGAAGAAGCCGAGCCATCCAAGGAAAGCACAGGGCATCTAAAGTGCAGGAGCCTCACAACCCAATCTAAATAGAGATGGAATATGGGGAACGTTAAATCTATGGCCACAGTGAGAACAGGGCGGTTCTGACCTCTCTGTGCTCTCCTGAGACTCTTGCTGTAGACACTCTCCCAGCCACTGGAGGTGTATCAGTGACCAGAGCAAATAAAAATGCTGGTGTCTCGAGACAAGGCATGTCTCAAAGGGTGCAGACATTGGCAGCTTGGAGAAGGTCAGCATATCAGACAGTGCAGGATCTAGCATATAGCAATCTGAAAGGTCTCTGACCTTTTTCTGAGGGACATGGCAAGGGAGAGGGGCTTTGGGGTTTGTTTAGGCCACTGAGAGGCCACTGTAGGAGCCAAGATCTGTGTTGGGGAGGGAATGATCCAATGAACCAAGACAGTGGCCTGACCAGGATAGAGATACACAGAGGATGAGGCGTGGCTTGGCCGGAGACACACCGTGCCAGTACATAACCAACAGGGATACTGAGGCTGGTAACTGACCACCCATGCACTGGGGCTGGTTTGTAACTACGAGAAACACTGAAAGCAGGACATAAGCAGGAACAGGGACCCTGCAACCACTAGTGTGGCACCTTGGCTGATGGGGCCATAAATGCCATTGCGTATGTCTCGATACAAATATCAGGAATTAAGTTGAGTAGGATGTCTCATACCTGCAATCCCAGTCCTCCAAAGGCTGAGGAAGAATTGTTCCATGAGTTTGAGGCTAGCCTGAGCTACAGGGAGAAACCTTGCCTGGCGTTTGTGTAAGGGTACAGAGAAGTCTGTGATACCCACGCATCAACACATGCTATTTGGAAGGTTTCTGTGAGGCATTTTAGGTTTTTGTTTTGTTCTGAGGCATACCATCATTGAGTGGTTTCCAGTCCCTAAAAACAATTAAAAATAAGAACAATTCAGGAACTCCTACAGAGCCTTTTCCCAGAACACCAATTGTTCGCAGGATGAGGAGGGAGGAGGCTTATTTTCTTCTGGGGGAGCCGGGCCACTGTCCACTCCCAAAACCAGACCCCTAGCAGCTCTTCTGTGTGCCAATTTCCACTGAGCCAGTCAAGGCCTTTGAAGGAAGAGAGGGATTTTCCTGGGAAATATGAGGAAGTTGAAAGGGGCCTCCGACTGGCAGCCCAGCCTTCCTTCATCGGTTACCCATGGGCACCCAGGGACTTACCACAATCTCCCTAACTAAGGTCCCATGGTGTCTAAGCCACTTGGGAGGTTGTGGGAGGGGTAAGATCCCTACCTATGGGGGAAATCAAAGGGGCAGCAGCAGACAGGCAAGGTGAGCACCTTTGTTCTGAGTGCTGGTTGCAAAGACCTGGCTAGGAGCTAGTCACTGCAAGCAGAGAGACGCCCCTGTTTTGCCCTGAAGGATCCCAGATCCTGCTAAGGATGCAGACATGGAGAGATGTGGAGACAGATGGCCTCTAAAGAGATGCTGGGCGTGTTTCCAGCTCAGCCAAGAACAGAGGACCGGGAACAGGCAGGTGCTACACGCAGCTGCAGGAACTAGGCAGACTCTGCAAGGGTCTGGGGCTAACAGGAGCTTTCCCAGGACGTCTGTGGGCGCCAGATGCCCGGTTGCCCTGGTCCAAATTCCAGGAAGTGGGAGACATGCCAGGTATTTTACAAAATTGGCCACAATCAGACTGTTCTGAGTCTAAACGGTTGTGTGTCCTCTTTAGCAACACAGCTCTGTATAACTAAGTTCAGGGATATCTGGTGCAGGCCAGTGACTGAGTTCCTTAGGTCTTTGGAGACTTCCTCTTGCATACTGCAAGATGGTGTATGTCTGCACACTTCTAAAAGCTTCCTTTGGGGAGAGGTGACTGGCATACAACATACTAGTTTTGTGAAAATTTGAAAATTATAGATATTTTTAAAATTATGTGTACATGCAATGTACACACATGCTTGTACATGTACTATGTCATGAGTGTGGTGGTCATAGGAGGACTTGTGTGGGTTGATCCTCTCTTTCCATTATCAGGGGTTTCGAACTCAAATCATCAGGTTTGGCGGCAAGCACCTTGACCTGCTAAGCCGTGTCCCTGACCCTGTGACTTTGACATACACACCCACAAAATCACTAGCATGGTCATGATGGGAAACACGCCCGTTCACTGCTCTTGAAGTGGTGTGAACCTGGGAGAGTGGGACCTATAAAACAAGGCTGACCAAAGTATCATGAGATAGCCAACTTTATTCAGAGCATCAGGTAATTTATACTCTCAGGGTTAAGAGTAGGTCACTGTTGCATGGTTCCTGGCCGCCAGGCTAGCTTAGACCCGAAATAATCACACAGAAACTATATTAACTAAATCACTACTTGGCCCATTAGCTCTAGCTTCTTACTGACTAACTCTTACATATCAATTTAGCCCATTTCTATTGATCTGTGGCAGTGGCTTAACGAGCAAAGTTTCAGTATGTCTGACTTGGCGGCTCCATGGCTTCCCTCTGACCCTGCCTCATTTCTCCCAGCATTCACTTTAGTTCTCCCCGCCTAGCTCTGTTCTTTCGTCCTATCACAGGCCAAGACAGTTTATTTATTCATTAACCAATGAAAGCAGCACATAGACAGAAGGACCTCCCACCCCAGGTCACCTGAGTTAAGCTCACAATCACAAGAATAAGCCGTATGGGGTAAAAACCATGTTTTTCCATCAAGGCACATGAATAGCAACAGCTGAAGG